AAAATCATCATAAAACCAATCAGGGTTTTAACATTTTTACTGTTTTCACAGAGGTATTCCATTTCACTGTTAGTGAAAGGAGTGAAAATTTTCCCTTCTCAGTATAATTTCTCCTCACCCTAGAACTCCCACACTCCAGAAGGAGCATTACTTAATTTAGGTCCTCTAAGGGTTAAATGCTGAACATCGCAACAGGTTGTTGTTTAGTAGTCATACCAAACAACTCTTCCCATTAAGCAGTTTCTAAAATTAAAGTGTTAAAACGCAAAGATGTCACCTTGAAGACTAAGGTGCCCCTGACCCAAGCCATGGTATTTTCAATCACCTCATATGCATGCAAACGCTGGACAATGAATAAGGAAGACAGAAGAAGAATTGACACCTTTAAATTATGGTGTTGGTGAAGCATATTGAATATACTACGGACTGCCAGAAGAACAAACAAAACTGTCTTGGAAGAAGTTCAGCCAGAATGCTCCTTAGAAGCAAGGATGGCGAGACTAGGTCTCACATACTTTGGACATGTTATCAGGAGGGATCAGTCTCTGGAGAAGGACATCATGCTTGGTAAAGTAGAGGGTCAGGGAAAAAGAGGAAAGGAAGACCCTCAGTGAGATGGACTGACACAGTGGCTGCAACAATGGGCTCAAGCATAACAACGATTGTGAGGATGAGGCAGGACCAGGCAGTGTTTCGTTCTGTTGTACATGGGGTCACTATGAGTTGGAACCAACTCAACGGCACCTAACAACAACATCAACAACAAAATCGAGTTATTAGTCTGAGAATCTAAGAAAACAGATTCCTCAATACTACTCAGAAATATAACCAAACTCCTTTACACAATAGCCTTTGGTTTTTATTTAGGTGTATCTGATAATGCCAGGTAAAAGCACACCAGTTAGGTCACAGACCTAAGTAGGTCCCACCTTCCCATGATGCCAGAACCCTAATCTTAGAACCTGGTCACAATTTGGTGAACCACATGGAAAAAGAAAACCAAAGAGAATAAGGAAGAGAGATGGCCAATCTTCCCTGAAGGACAGACTGGTTTAATACATTGTTGTTGTTAGGTGGGTGCTGTTGATTTCTACTCACAGCAACCCCATGTGATACAGCAGAACTGCCCCATAGGGTTTTCTTGGTTGTAATCCTTATGAAAGCAGATCAACAGGTCTTTCTCTCACAGAGCCACTGGGTGGGTTCAAACTGCCAACCCATCTGCAAGTGAGTTAGTGGAAGAGAAGAGGTAATCGGTATGTGACATTTTAATGTACAGTGACTCTGGTTCCAATAAATGCAGTTCAATCAATTTCTTATGTTCTGACCAAACAGATTAGCATTCTCTTTTCTTGAGGAATAACATGGATTGAAGTGGGCCAAGAGGCAGCATGCAGACAAGGACAAGAGAGTTCCCTTCTGTGTTCCCTACCACCAGTGTTGCATGTTGAAAAAGTAAAAGAATTACATATAATTGTATTATAGGATTATTTTACTTAATATTATATAAAGATCTTATGTAATAATGGAGAGACCCCTGAAATAGAAATTAGTTTCCACTTCTTAATTTGCCAAATTGGCTGTGCACTTTGCCTTTCTGGATCTTGTTATCTACACAATAAAATTTGAAAAAAAATTTTATTAGAGACTTCTAAGGTCTCTTCAAGATCTAAGAGTCTATGATTTTATTATTATACTATATATCCAGGTTTCATTAACAAGTTGGCTGTTTCTGTGGGGCAGCTTATGCACTCCTCACATGTCTAGTGTTATACAATTTGTATCCTTTTTAAAAATGTTGGTTGAGGTGTGGAAAGTGTGTATTGGTTGCTTCAATACGTGTTATCAAGGGTATGGAGATAATATATGTAAAGATACCTGAATATAATATTTCTGTTAGTATAAACAAGAGACTGTAATACGGGTTGCTCCTGAGCAAGGGACCTCAGGAAGCCAGTCACCCTGGGCCTATGGGAGAATGTATTTTTCAAATGTAAGTTGTCTTTTGTACTCATATTCAACTCTCCCCCTTATTTTTTCTCCTCTGGCCAAACAGGCCTTCTTACTATTTTTCCAACATATCAATATGCTCCCAGTTCAAGGCCTTTGCACTTGCCCTTCCTACAGCCTGGAACACTCTTTCTCCAGAGAGACTTCATTCAGAACACTGCTCAAGCATCACCTTATCACTGAGACTTCCCTGACTACACTGGATGTAATAACTTCCCTCACACACCCCCTTTTGAAACACTGCCTGGCACATAACAGGCAATCAACAAATACTTGTTGAATTAATGAATGTACTGTTTGAGATTTTTATCATACATATTGTAATGGTTAAGATCATGTGTCAACTTGGCTGGGCCATGATTCTCAGTATTTATATGTGATCACTCCCATGATTGAATATGCTGTGAGTAGCCAATCAGATGAAAGGGAGTTTCCTTGAGGGTGTGGCCTGCATCTGAATATAAGCAGACATTCTGGCTTTTTGCTCACTCTGGATCCTGCAGCTGCCTCCTGTCCTCTCACCTCCAGTTCTTGGGACTTGAGCTGTCAGCTTATCTGCCGAACTTGGGATTTGTCGATCCTCACAGCCTATGAGTGGAGCCCCGCTCTCTGACCTGCCAATCTTGGGTTCGCCAGTCCCTGCAACTACATGAATCAGGAGAAACCTTGCGGTCATGCCTGCTGATCTTGGAATTCATTGACCTTCACAGCCTGTGAGCAGGAGCCCTGCTCTCCGACTTGCCGATCTTGGGCTCGCCAGCTTCTGCAGCTGCATGAATTGGGAGAGACCTCTACCCTGATCCATGGACTTGGGATGTTCTAGCCATTACAATTGCATGAGCTGTTTCCTTGCTATAAATCTCTCTGTATATATATTTATATGCTTTGCTGGTTTTGCTTCTCTAGAGAACCCAGCCTAAGACATGCATAAATTACTTTTGCAATAAAAACAACTAGTTAAGGAATAAATGTTCAATCACTGAATTAACTGTTAGATGTTTGTTATTATAGGATAAAGTTCAATTCTTTTTCTCAGCATATAAACCAAACCCATTGCCCGTGGGTCGATTCCAACTCATAGTGACCCTATAAGACAGAGTAGAACTGCCCCACAAGGTTTCCAAAGAGCAGCTGGTGGATTGGAACTGCTGACCTTTTGGTTAGCAGCCTTAGCTCTTAACCACTGCGTCACCAGAGCTCCTCTCAACATATAGAGCTCTCCTTACTTGCCACGTGTTGGTCTTGGGCAAGTCATTTAAATTCAGTTTCCTCATCCGTAAAGTGGAGCTAATAATAGTTACTTCACAGAACGCACTTTTTGTAACCTTGACACTATAAAAATTACCAAAAGCACACATTTTCTGTGCTTGGAGCCTCGGAGCAGTAGACGGTTTCAATTTGCACAAACGATATGAAGTGTCTCACGAGCAGCGTTAAGAAACAGTAATGTTTAGGGCTGGGTCTGTAGCACGGCTGCCGTTGCCAGGGAAACCGTCGGGCGTCGCTAAAATCCGAGCACGCGCGCCTTGGCAACTTTTGTCCGACCTCCTTTTAGCCTTAGCGATAGGTGGAGCGCGGACCAATCGGAGGAGGTAGTAGGGGGAGCGGGGCGGGCAGAGGCCCGGGAAAGGCGATCCCGCAGCTTTGCTCCCTGACTTCCGGGTCGCGGTGCTTGCAGGGAGCGCTCCGCGAGTAGCGTCGTTTCCGTTGCTGGCTGTAAGGGCAAGATTTGCAATTGAGGAAACCGAGGTAGTTCCAGCTCTCCCTAGTTCTTCCACTTTGTGATGTGGCTGCTTTTATTTTTTCTCCCCTCACCCTATGCTGCTTCGGTATGGACTGCGCACGCCTCGCTGAGTCCTGCGGAACGTCAGCGGATCTACGGGGCAGGCGGTGCTTTGTGCGAGTCGTTCCCTCCCACTGGCGATCCGCTGCCCAAGCCGAGGTTGGTCCGCTCCGGGAGGGGCGCCGGCGCAGCGACTCCCTGAGGTCTGGGGAGCTCTGGCGCCACGAGGCAGTCGTTGCCTCTGAGTGGTAGTTCTGATTCTTTCTTGATGATGAGCGCGGACCAAATGGATTCATTTTAAAGATACAGTTCAGCTCACCTCTGACGTGCACTGTTTCTGCACTGATCTGCTGGGATTTCGAATTTGACAGTCCCTCAGGCCCTAGTCCAGAGATGATGTGTCTGTGGGCATGTTTAAGACAGGAAGGAGATGGGTATTTTTGTTTGTTTTTAAGTCTCTCTTCCTCACTTGCACTCCCCTCCCCCCATCCCACCCCGCCCTCTTCATTTGGGAACTGAAGAATTTTCGTATGACGTAAAGAATCAGATTTATTGAAGGTGTAGTTTTTTGACTTAGTATTTCTGCTCTTCACTTGTTGAAATGAAAAATCAAGAATTGGCCACGGTGTGATCTACTCCGTGTTCAACGTGTAAACTTCAATTTGTAAGCCATATGTAGCGTTTTTATTTGCTAGCGTCCTTGACTGGAACAAATGTAACTGGAATTACCCCTAAGGGTTGAGAAGAGTTTTTTCTTGATGAAAACAATTCTGATGTTTGGTATATTTTATTTAATCGCTGCTTAGTTGGAGTCCTCTTGTTTTTAACTGTTGGGACCGAATTTTCGAAGATTGAGAAATTAAAATAGGAAACAAATATGAAATACAATTATTTAACAAAAAGTGCAGATCATTCTGCAATCATTCTTTCAACCTATTAAGTAGACTGACTCTAAGGTAGTAAGTTGTTTGGATTTCAACGGTTAATATTTTTAAACGATAAATTGACTATTTGACCAGCCATCATTTAAATCATCTAAGTGGTGTAAGTTCACCGTCATTGTTTTCTTAGATGCTTAAGTAAGCGCCAGCACAAAATGGACACAATAATAATAGTTTTGATGAATTGGATAAACTATAAATTATATATATATATATTTTAGTTCAATTAATTTTTAAGCCTTTCCTATATTTTCTTCTTCAGAAAACATGTTTATTTCTTTGTGGGAGTTCTTCTACGAAAACTTTTTTCGATATTGGATGAAATGGATCTTACGACAGATGACTGGGAAGTGTGAATTGCAACGAATTTTTGATACCTATGTAGGTGCACAAAGGACACACAGGATAGGTAATGTTATTTGAAAAAGAAATTAAAAACTAATAAAATTTTAGCTCTGAGTATTTTTTCTCAATAACTGTAGTGACATACACATTCCTTGTGTATCCTGATTAAGTCACTTTAACTGAGTTTCATAAACTTTGAAATCTAGCTTTGAATCCTTTCAGCTCTAAAAATTGTATAAATTTATAGAAAAAGAAACTGATTAGTGTTTAATTCCCCATATGTGCGAACGATTATCTTCTGTGGCTCCTGAAGTTTATCAGTTGTTCCTTTGATTGCAGCGTATTTTCTAGAGAAAAATCTCTATACTTGTATAATCCTTTTGAAATTTTCATTCAAATAATAAAAAAAGAGTGAGTGTTTGGATTTAGACTCATTTTTATAGTCAAGATCCTTCATCAATCTTTTAGTTTCTTACTGTTTATGGAAGAACAGTAGGTATCCAGTGGTCCCTAGGAAAGATTATTAGACTCTCAATGCACATTGTCCAATACAGGAGTCACTAGCCATATGCTTTGAGCACTTGAAATGTGACTAGCCTAAGTTGAAATGCATGTAATTGTAAAATATACATTGAATTTCAAAGACTTTATAAAAAAGAATGCGAAAATACCTCGACAGTTGTTTATGTTCACAATATGTTGAAATGATAATTTGGATATATCGGGTTAAAAATAAAATTAATTTTATCTGTTAGTTTTTACTCTTTTTAATGTAGCTACTAGAAAAAAATTAAGTGCGTATGTAGCTTACATTTTGGCCACATAATAGAGTAATGCTACTCTAAAATCCCGCATTTCCTCAATTCTTAAATAAAAATGCAGCTTTAAATGAGAGCGCAGATGAGTGAGAAATGCAGTTTGAGGTCACCTCTCTTGGACCACGGTAGGGAGAACCAAGCAGCTGCTGCAGCTCATGCTTACTGTCTCGAATGGAAACATCACAGATTAACTAGATTTCCTTTTTGCGTTGAAGAAGCGTGCTACTAAGAAACCCCTGTAAGGTTTAGAGAGTGGGATATTGGCAGTTGGAATGTGAATCTGAGACAACATTGGGACTGCTTCCATTAAGATTATAGCCTAAAAATGCTGTGGAGCAGTTGCACTCTGTAATCTATGGGGTCACCATGAGTCAGAATTAATGGCAGCGGGTTTGGTTTTTACCTCTTTGGCTCTGGTATGTTGTGTTTGGTTGCGGTTTATGGGATCATATCTAGTTCCCTATACTGGAAGAATGATAAGACATAAGAAGGTTAAACCTCAGGGCAGCTAGATGGTTGAAGTTTAACTACTTTCTAGTTTTCTCTGAACCTCGTGGGTGACAAATCATTGCCTAATCCTTAGATTTGCCTTTTTGACTGGGAAGAACGAAGTACCTTTTGATAAGAAACCTCTGCAGTCAGTGTTGGTTAGTGTTTTGTAGTGTGGAGGAAGAGCATATGTTAAGGCTTTATTTTGCAGCAAAAGCATTTTCTTGAATTTTTTAAATATCTGAGAAAAAGGAAAGTATTAGTAAATGTGCCAGAGAATTTTTTAAATAGACCAGTAAAAATATTCTTGTCACTCTTGAAGCAGAAGCCAAGAATGGAGAGACTGTTTTGTTATTTGTCTGGTAGAGGACGGTTGGCCAGATAATCTAAAGTCATTTCATTGTTGCCTCTTTGTTGTATGATTTAGTTGCTAGTGTCTCAAATCTAAATGCTTACCGTAATCTGTAAACACATGAAGAAAATGTAGTCGAGAGCACTCTCACTGTAGTTCTAAGATGAGTTTCTGGGACCTGAACTCTTCTGAGGCAGCCATGAATGAATTTGTGGTGGTGAGTAGACAGTTTGAGGTCTGCACAGTGACCCCGGGGGAAATAAGGTTGGCTTCACCTCTTTGAAGTCCCTAGGTGGTGCCATTGGTTTGCACTTGACTGCTAAGATTGGCAGTTCAAACCTATCTGGCAGTACCATGGAAGAAAGGTCTGGCAATCTGCTTCCATTAAGATTATACCCAGAAAACCCTATGGAGCACTTCTACTGTGTAATCTGTGGGGTCACCATAAGTCAGAATTGACTCGATGGCAGCAAGTTTGGTTTTCACCTCTTTAGCTCTGGTATGTTGTGTTTGGTTGAGGTTTATGGAATCATATCTAGTTCTCTATGCTGTAAGAATATAATTTTAAAGTGTATTCTGTGTTATTTATATAAAAATTATATTTTCTAGAACTACTAAAGTAATGTATGATTGGTTTAATATTTTTACTGTTTATAAATGGAGTAATTTAGAAACAGCATTTAAGTGGTAACTTTTTTTTTCTTCATTTCAGAAAATTCCTTGACATACTCCAAGAATAAGGTAGGATTGACTATATAATAGTGATAATTCCAGAAAACTTAATTTGGAGATACTTTTTCTTTAAAAGAAGGCCTCAATTTTAGAATGAATTATTTTTAATGTCCTAGTAGGAGAGTCTTTGCTGTGATGAGTGTTGAGTGAAATTTTCCTCCTAAAGAAGTAATATTACTTTTAAAAAATTTTCTCTGGGTGTGTGTGTATTTGTGTGCTACTCTCACACAAAGAAGGTGTTTGAATAATTTGTCCTGTTCTGAGATTTTACTGTTTATTTTGCCTTAAGAGTTGGTAGGTTTTGGGAAAGCAGGGTCTTATGGAAAGCCTTCTCTTAGAATGTATCTTCAGGATAGGTTCTTGTATGAGAGAAAGGTAAGCAGGTTTAGAGAGTTACAAAGGACCCTGGCTCTTGTACCATTTGATCCAAAGTACGTCACACCTCATGCTTTTTTTTGGTCAGCTTTTGCTCTGTAACAAACTATTATAAAATATCAAGAGCATTTAACAATACATTATTTATTTCTTGCTCATGTGTCTGTGGACCAGCTGGAGGGGCTCTGCTTCAAGCTGTGGTCAAGTTCAGGTCCGTTCAGTTGTCTCATTCTTGGACCTAGGTTGGAGGGTAGTGGGTATTTGGGGAATTTTTCTCTCACAGTGGATAACTGAAGAATGAGGACAGGCCCAACCACACAGGCATATTAAGGTTCCTTGCATCACATCCATTAACATCCCATTGGCTAAAGTAAGTTCCACGGCCAAGCCCAAGTCAAGTGGTAGAGAAATACACTGAGCTCCCCATAAGGCCACAATAGGCATGTGGATAGATAATTTAATAGTAAGGGAGTGAAAAATGCAGACCAATAACTCAGGTTACTACATGCTGTTAGTTTCTTATAGTAGTTCACAATTTTTTGTGTATATGCATTGGTGTGGCAGAGGTGGAGTGTGGGTCATCCAAACCATTGTCTGAAATCTCATAGTGGATCAAAATTAGTATAAAACAACAACCACAACAAAAGGAATAGGGTAGAAAATAACTAGAAAACATTGTTCATAATGAAGTTAAATACCATTTTTTGAAGTTTTAATTTCAGTTATGTATGTATGTGTTCTTCCATCTATATATTTCACATATACTTATGTATGTACGAATGTACCTGGTCATGTTGCAAAATGTGAAATCAGGATAAAAAAGTGTTGAGTTGCTGCTATCTATTGATGTTGATGTGAGTTACCAATTTATACCAGAAGCAACTCATACCAATTATGTTCTGGAGGACTACCTGTAAAAATATTGCTTTACTGATTTAGTTGCAACTTTTATTTATGAATGGTCTATATAAGAATAACTCATGCACAAGAATGAATATTGGGGCGAGGAATATAGAGTCCTACTCTGGTGTTCAGAATACTTAGAGAGTGATTAATACTCTTTTTATTTTAAATGAAATGTAGCAGTGCAGAAAGCTAACATCTTGCTGGTTCTAAAAATTTACTTTATCCACCCACATAATTCCTTTAATTGGAGCTTGGGATGCATTTTCCCAAAGGAACAACATCATAAATTGTAGCAGATGTACTTGGAGAAGCGCTATATTTCAGATCTATTACAACAGTGTTCTCAGACTTGAGCATGCATCAGAATCCCCAAAGGCTTGTTAAAACAGAGATGGCTGTGCCGTACCGCCAGAGTTCGGATTCCGCTCTGATTGCACTTACAACACATTCCCAAGTAATAACTGCTGTTGCTCCTGCTGGCCAGGAGCAATTCTTTGAGAACCATTGTGTTAACAGATTAGTATGCTTTGAAAGACTGTTCTGGGACCGTACTTTGTCTCTGTAGGAAATGGTATATGTATTCTCCAAACTGACCAAGTCACGTTTCTCAGATTTCCACTCATCGTGAAGGCAGCCCTTTTACTTCTGCTGCTGTTCTAAGCTTCAAGTAGTTTCTTGTAGCCAAATTATCCCAGAATTTGACAGACTAGACCTAGTTGACCATATCTGCATCCTTACTGATTGTTAGAACCTTTGATCATTTTCCTTTTTAACTTTTAGTTTTTTCTGGGGAGCAAGCCTGCCTTCCTTTTTTCCTTCCTTCTTTTAAATAATGTTATGTATCACTTTATATGTCTTTTACTGAAAAAGTTGTCCTTCTTAAAATTTTTATCTATTGAATATCTCCATCCATTCAGTAATTATATGTCAATTACTATCTATTACATGCAGGGTATGAAAAGATAAACCAGGTATAATCTCTGTCCTTAAGGAATTTATCACGTAATATATAAAAGTACCTATAATATAGGTGGTAATAAGGTTCATAAAAAGGTTACAGATAAATTATTACAGGGCTTCCGAGAGAAGAAAGGATACTTCCACTTGAATGGGATCAGGGAAAGTTTGTTGGACCTGACGTTTAAGCTAGTTTTAAAAATGCAGACAATTTATGTTTAGAAACTGGGGAAAGGAGCATTTCAGATGAAAGGCTCAAAGTAAGTACAGGCATAACTATAGGTTTGATTGGAAGTAACGTAGTAGTTCAGTTTTCCTGAAGTATAAAGTATACCAGAGAGGATTTTGATGGTAGCTTACTAGGGGATAAGAGTTAAATTTTTAAGGGTAAAGAAGGCGTGAACTTGTTTATTTATTGAAAGGAAGGATCCAGTGGACATTTATAGACATATGTTTTTTCTGTTTTATATACATAGAAAAAAGACCAAAAGAATATATACCAATCTGTTACTAATGGCTATCTCTGGTGGTAGGATTGTTGTTATTGGGTGCCATCAAGTCAGTTCTGACTCATAGTGACCCCATGTGACAGACTAGAACCTACCCCATAGGGTTTCCTTGACTGTAATCTTTATGGAAGCAGATTGCCAGGTCTTTATCCCATGGAGTCACTGGGTGGACTTGAACTGCTAAACCTTTTGGTTAGCAGCTGAACACTTAACCATGGCACCACCAGGGCTCTGTTGATTTCTGCATTTTAATTTTTTTCTACATATATTTTTATTATGTAATTTTTTTTAAAAAGTCTGCTTCATAAGCACACTGTGTAGCAGATCATTAGCCAAGAACTCATTAGTCAAGAGCCTGTTGATTCTTGGTTAAGGAAATCTTTATCAGATACCTCATATAGTGTCTCTTTTGTCAAAAAATATATTTATACTTAAATAATTTTGGCCCCAGAGAAAATTTAAAACTAATTTGTTTTTAATATCTGAATTGTAAAGTTGATTAAATCCCTCAAAATTGACTACTCTTTTTCAGCTACAAGGGGTATTTTTCATTCAACTTCTCTTTCACATTAATAGGTTTTACAGGAAGCTACACATGTCATGCAGGGTGAAGTGGACAAACGTGTAGAAGATATAATGAAGGAAAAGAATATTAACCCTGAGAAGGATGCCAGGTATGCTGTTTTTACAGTATTCTGTTTTATTAGGCATTTGTATCTGGTAAGTTATAAAGATCACACACATTTGTGAACCCTTGGGACAGAAAAGGTTGTGGAGATCATCTAATTTAATTGTCTCATTTCACTCGATGAGGAATTAAAGTCCAGAGAGATGAGGTGACTTGTACAATATTACAAACGACTAGTGATAAAAGCAGGGCTGAAACCTCTATCCAGTTGTGTACTCTTGCTGTTATACCACCTGCCTTCTTTAATATAATTTAAAATATTGTATTAAATTACATAGATATTAAATATATTAAATAAATATATTAAAATATTACATAAATAGCTTCAGCTACTGTGTCCTTCTTGTGCTTCAAAATTCAGCTCTGTCTCCTCCTCCAGGAAGGTCCTCCCGGGCTCCTCTAGTCTAAGTTAGCTGCCTTTGCTCTGTCCTTACATAGAGCGCTCTAGCATGGCGTTTAACCCGTTATGCTATACTCTTGTTCTTCCCTAATAAACTCTAAGTCCTTTAAGGAAAGGGGTGTTCACTCGTTTAATGTCTATAGTCTCAACACTGGTACATTGACACAGTATTTAACAAATTTTTCTCCTCAGTCACCATTTTCTATGTCAGTATAGAGAAAGGAGCAGTTTATTTTGGCTGGAACAGGGAAAGGTGTGGGAGAGAACTGTAAGGGTAGTTCCACAAAAGAGGTGACATTTGAGCTGGACGTTGATGAATGGGTAGGGGAAGACATTCGATGTAGAACAGTGCCAACAAGGCACAGAGAAATAGAAGTACTTGAGTATCTGGGAACTATAGGGAGTCCTTTGTGGCTGGAGCATTGGATACGTGCAGAGCAGTGGTTGGAGAAGTGAATAGAATGCTAAATTGGAGATTACATTGCAAAGAGTCTTGAATGTTATACTGAGGAATTTAGAATTTGTTCTCCATTTTTTAAGCAAACAAATTACATTATCAGATTTGTATTTTAGGAAGATGGAAGATAGATTTGGCAATGTGGGATGCTGGTAGAGAGAATGAAGATAGAACAGTTAAGAAGCACTTGATAGAACTGAAGCACATTTAGGCCAGAGATGACAAGGCCATATATACAGCAGGGGAAATGAAGATACGAGGATTGCTTTGAGGGACATTTCAGAGATACATTGGATAAGAACTTGGGGACCTTTTGGATATATTGTTGATGGAGAAAGAGGAGGATTAGAATTCTGTTTTTTCTTTAAAATTTTTTTTATTATGGTAAATATATAGGTAACAAAACATTTGCTATTTCAACAATCTTCACGTATACAATTCAGTGACATTAAATATGTTCACCATGTTGTTCAACCATCAGTGTTAACCATTCCCGAATTTTTCTGTTACTCTTAACAGAAGCTCAGTGTCCCCTAAGTATTGTGTCATCTTTTCCCCTAAAAATAATTAAAAAAAAAAAAATTTATCATGCTTTAGGTGAAAATTTACAGCACAAATTAGTTTCTCATTCAAAAATTTATACACAAATTGTTTTGTGACATTGGTGGCATTCCCTGCAATGTGTCAGTACTCTCCCCCTTTCCACCCCGGATTCCCTGTGTCCATTTGTCCAGGTTTCCTGTCCCTTCCTGCTGTCTTGTCTTTGCTTTTGAGCAGGTGTTGCCCATTTGGTCTTCTATACTTGATTGAACTACGAAGCACATTCCTCATGTGTATTATTGTTTGTTCTGTAGGCCTGTCTAATCTTTGGCTGAAAAGTGGACTTTGGGAGTGGCTTCAGTTCTGAGTTAGCAGGGTGCCTGGGGGCTATAGTCTTGGAGGTTCCTCCAGTCTCTGTCAGACCAGTAAGTCTGGTCTTTTTTTTTTTTTTGGTGAATTTCAGTTTTGTTCTACATTTTTCTTCCACTCTGTCCAGGACCCTCTATTATGATCTCTGTCAGAGAGGTCAGTGGTGGTTGCTGGACACCATCTAGTTCTTTGGGCTTAGGCTGGTGGAGGCTGTGGTTCATGTGGTCCATTAGTCCTTTGGACTGATATTTTCCTTGTGTCTTTGGTTTTCTTCATTCTCTTCTGCTCCTGTCGGGTTGGGATCAATAGATGTATTTTAGATGGTTGTTCACAAGTTTTAAGATCCTAGACGCTACTCACCAAAGTAGGATGTATAACATTTTCTTTATGAATTATGTTATGCCAGTTGACCTAGAGGTCCTGTTTTAGTCATCTAGTGCTGCTATAACAGAAATACCACAAATGGATGGCTTTAACAAAGGGAATTTTTTTCTCTCACAGTCCAGTGGGCTAAAAGTCCAGATTCAGGGCATCAGCTCCGGGGAATGCTTTCTTCATTGGCTCTGGAGGAAGGTCCACGTCATCAGTCTTCTCTTGGTCTGGAAGCATCTCAGTGCAGGAACCTCAGGTCCAAAGGACGCACTCTGCCCCTGGCACTGCTTTCTGGGTGGTGTGAGGTTCCCATGTGTCTCTGGTTGCTTCTCTCTTTTATATCTCCAAAGACATTGGCTTAAGACACTATCCAATTTTATAAACCTCATCAGTATAACTGCCACTAATCCATCTTATTAGATCATAGTGATTGAGTTTACAACACATAAGGAAATCACATCAGATTACAAAATGGTACAAAATTATACAATACTGGGAATCATAACCCAGCCAAGTTGAAAGATATTTTTGGGGGGACACAGTTCAATCCATGACAGGTCCCCAGCCCTCAGCCCCAGTAATTCAGTCCTTCAGGGTGTTTGGATGTGTCTAGGAAGCTTCTATGACTTTGCCTTGGTCAGATTTTGCTAACTTCCCCTATCTTGTGTGTTTTCTTTCCCTTCGCCAAAGTTAACACTTGTTTTCTATCTAGTTAGTGATTTCCCCTCCTGAACCCTCCCCTCCCTCATAACCATCAAAGATTGTTTTTTTCTGTGTGTAAGCTTTTTCTTGAGTTTTTATAATAGTGGTCTCATACAATGTTTGTCATTTTGTGATTGACTTATTTCACTCCGCATAATGCTGTCCAGATTCATCTGTGTTGTGAGATGTTTCACGGATTCCTCATTCTTTATCATTGCGTAGTTGTGAAAACGGCATAGGGGCGGCATCTGACCTTTAACTTCATAAGGGGGAAGGAAAATTGAGATCAACAGCCTGAGGCTGATTCCTGTGAGGTAGAGGTCCTCTCTCCACCGTCTTTACCAACTCTGACACCAACTGTCCCTCCCACGGCACTCTCTACTTCTTTGCTGGGTTCAATAATTTGTTGCAGCGGACACACAAAACTCACAGACAAGCCTCACGATTATGGGGTTTATTAGGGAAATAAACAGGTTACATACAGTTCAGGTTCAGGAATATTCATCATATGGTTCTTCCATCAGGACAGCCTCTCTCCAGCTGTGCTTGCAGGCAGGACCCTCCCTGGCCCTCTGACTCTGCCCTGCTCAGGCAACGGTTACAAAGCTCTTTTAGCTCTGCTGATAAGTGCCCAAAGGCACTCGCCTCTACCTCTGTGGGTAAACAGACCTAGCTCCACCAAGTGCTCGAAGCACCCTACTCCTCTAGCAAGCCTCCTGCCCCAAGACACAGCTTTCTTGCTTGTGGGCCGGGAAGCCCACTGTGCTGTCTCCTGCTGATCTTTCTTGCTGTCATTTTTCTGCCACCGCTTCATGTCGTCTTCTGTGTTACAACTCTCTGTCTTTCAGTCTCCTGGTTCCAGGAGCTTCTTAGCCCTGGGATCCTGGGTCCAAAAGATGCACTGGCTGCTCTTCTTTGATGGTGGTGGGATCCTGTCTCTGCTCTGGAATTTGTTCTCTTTAAGGCAAAACTGACCAATCTCGTTGCTGGGCCACAATTGCCTTATTTACCTAGTCCGACACAATCACTTGGGTAGGAGTTACAAGACCATGGCTAGAAAGGCCACATCAAAGGGATCCATCGCACCACAGTAATACTCTATTCTGTGTATGTATGTACCATAATTTTTTTTATCCATTCATCTGTTGATTGGCACTTAAGTTGTTTCCATCTTTTTGCTGTTGTGAGTAATGCTGCAGTGAACATAAGTGTGCATATGTCTATTCATGTGATGGCTCTTCTCTAGAATATATTCCTAGGAGTGGAATTGCTGAATCATATGGTATTTCTATTTCTAGTTTTTTAAGGTGGCTCCATATGGTTTTCCACAGTGGTTGTACCATTTTACATTCCCACCAGCAATGCATAAGGGTTCCAGTCACTCCACAACCTCTCTGACATTTGTTATTTTCTGTTTTTTTTTATTAGTGCCAGTAATATCAGGGTGAGATGGTATCTCATTGTAGTTTTGATTTGCATTTCTCTGATTGCTAATGCTCACAAGCATTTCCTCATGTGTCTGTTAGCTGCCTGAATGTCTTCTTTGGTGAAGTGTCTGTTCATATCCCTTGCCCATTTTTTAATTGGATTATTTGTCTTCTTGTTGTTGGGGTGCTGAAGTATTTTACAGATTTTAGAGATTAGACCTTTGTTGGATATGTCGTAGCCAAAAATTTTTGCCAGTCTATAGGTTCTGTTTTTACTCTTTTGGTGAAGTCTTTTGATGAGCATTTAAGTGTTTGATTTTTAGGAGCTCCCTGTTACACAGTTTATCTTCTGGCAGATTAGAATTCTGAATGTTCAGACTTGGTTAGTGATGTCATTAATAGATTTAGAGTCTTTAGAAAGAGCATGTTTCTGCAAGGAAGATAAGCTGTGGTGTTTGGGAGAACTGAGAAAACCTTCCATACAGCTGTCCGTTATATATTTGGAAAATTAGGTCTGTTGGTGATATCAGGCAATAAGTATTTGGAGTACATGAAATTACACAGAGAAAACATGAAAAATAGAACAAATCCTTGTAATTGCAAATTTTGCAATTCCTACATGTCTTGCCTTCTTCTTTCTAGACCCTGTTTTATCATATCTTACATAATACTTAATATAATGCTTTGTGTTTAAGGAGGCTCTTGGTGCTTATTGGGTGGAAATGCTTTCTAAATAGACATATAAACCACAAGCTGTGGAAGGTATTACTGTATTGGGATAAGAAAATACGATTTATAAAAATAATTTTATCATTTGCAGTTTTAAAATCTGCATGAAGGCTTGCTTACTGCAGATATCTGGTTATAAACAGCTTTATGTGGATGTTGAAAATGAGAGAAAAAAGCCATATGATTCTGATAACCTGCAACATGAAAAGCTACTCCTCAAGGTAAATTTTTGTTTTCTGTACTTGGAGTTATTGAACATAGAAAAATAAATTGGGCTACAACTGAGTAGAATCATAGTAAAAATTCTAGAGGTTTATCCAGAAAAAAAAAACCAAATCTATTGCCATTGAGTTCATTATACAGCCATTTAATTTCTTTGCCTTTTAGAGAATGTATTATTTCATTATACGGAAAGATTTTTAGCTAACTATTTTTATGATTTTATGATGAGTATCATTAAAATATATTCAAATAAATTTTATTTTAATGCTTTTCATTCTGAAATAAATTATAAACTTATAAAGGGAGATCTTTAAAGGATGGAGCCACAAACTTCAGATTTTCCACTTACTATTTATATAGATTGCTCATATAAGTTAGGCATTTTTTCACCTTACTCTCGAATTATGAACATGGGTATCCTTTCAGATTATTATGTCAAATCTTTTGGGTTTATAGGATGTTAATTGCCAAATAATGCCACGATAAATTTAAAAATTAAGACAGTAAAGAAATTTATTTGCAATTTTCTTGTTTAATATTTCTTAACTATAAATACATAAAAATATGGAGGTGATGAAATTAAAGAATATTAGACCTGGAATAAGCATTAGAAATCATCTAGTCCAGTCTCTTTATTTAAGGTATGAGGAATCTAAGGCCCAGAGATGAAGTGATTTGCCTTAGGTCCTAGAAAGTAGGACCTGGACTAGACCCTGAGTCTCCTGCCCTTCCATTACATCTAATTTAATTTAATTTTTAAATGGTGAAAGTCAGAGAAAATAGCACATTGCACTTGGAGCTAGGAAGTTGCCATAACTAAAGGTACTGTAGAAAGAAACATTAATAGTATCTAAGTTAGGAAAGTCTGGAACTTTTTTTTTTCCCAATGCTGTTGACTCACAGTAAGAGACACAGTTTAAAAACAATAACAACTTCTGGGAAGGTGGCTACACGAGCAGGTCTAAGATCCTGATGCTCCCACATGAGCACCAAGAAAAGCAACTAGAAAGCTGTAATGTCAACTCTGTAAGAACTCTGAAGAGTAGGTGGAGGATTGCAGCAACTACACTGAAAAAAGAAAAAGATGACTTCTAAATAGTCGGAAAACTTGTTTTTATAGTGTTTCCATCCCTTACCCTCCTGGTACAGCAGATGGGCAGCTGCAGTGGAGTCGGACCACGGCTTGCCTTCTCAAAGATAGGCCCCAATCTCTGGCTCTGGAGTGAGTATGGCATACTTTGCTGGTGGACTGTTCAGTGTGTCTGTTCTGATCTGTCTGAGAGCTCCCTGAAGGATGCAAGCCTCAGTCCAACCTGAGTTGGACTCACACAGGGTGGGGGAGGGAGTGGTGAGCAAAGATGGAAGGCTGTGACCACCTGAGAATCTCTTGTAGAAATTAGTGCTTTTGAAAGCACTGTGTATATGGGGGAATTGCAAAGTCACACTTATGCTCAGTGCTAACACATTGTAATAGTCTAATGACCCAGCTTCAACAAAAAATCACAAGGCATACAAAGAAACTTAAAATGATGGCCCATTCTAAAGAACAGGACGAAGGAGAAAAATTGTCTCCATGGAAGCCCAGATTGTGGACAGATTAAAAACCAAACCAAACCCATTGCCGTCAAGTTGATCCCGACTCATAGTGACCCTATAGGACAGAGTAGAACTGCCCCATAGGGTTTCCAGGGTGCGCCTGGTGGATTCAAACTGCTGACCATTTGGTTAGCAGCTGAACTCTTAACCACTATGGCACCAGGGTTTCCATGGACAGATTAGAAAATGTTAAAACAATAGTATTAAAATGTTCAAAGAACTAAAAGAAAACACCAGAAAAGAACTAAAAGAAACCAGGAAAATGATACATAAACAAAACGAGAATATCAATAAAGTGACACTGTAAAAAGGAACCAAACAATTACTGGAACTGAAAAATACAACTCAAATGAAAAATTCAATGGAAGATTTCAACAGCAGATTTGAGCTGGAAGAGGAAAGAATCAGTGAACTGGAGAATAAGGCAATTGAAATTATTGAGGCCAAAGAGCAAAAAGAAAATAGCATCAATACAGCTGAACAAAGGCTAATGGAACGGTGGTATACCACTAAGTGAACTATCATATGCATCATGGGATTCCCAGAAGGAGAAGCAAGAGAAAGGGACAGAAAGAATATTTGAAGAAATAAAGGCAGAAAATTTTCCAAATTTGACAAAAAACGTGAGTCTGTAAATTCAAGAAGCGCAACAAATTCTAGATAGGATAAATCAAAAGAGATCCACACCAAGACACATTATAACAAACATTCAAACACCAGAGATAGAAAATCCTGAAAGCAGTAGGAGGGAATGGAGTTGTCACATGCAAGGAATCCTTTGTAAGGTTAAGTGCTAGTTCCCTCAAAAACCTTGAAAGCAAGAAGGTGTTAGGATGATATATTCAAAGTGCTGGAAGAAAAGAACTCTCAATGAATATTTCTGTATCTGGCAAAACTGTCTTTACGAATGGGGGCAAAATTAAGATATACCCAGATAAACAAAAGCTAAGGGAGATCATGATGACTAGATCTGCATTACAAGAAATGCTAAAGGAGCCCTTCAGATAGAACTGAAAGGACACTAGATGATAACTCGAAAATGTGTGTAGAAAAGAAAGATCTCCAATAAAGGTAATCTCATGGGCAAGTATAAGGGCCCCATGGTATTAGGGTCTTATGGTATTCTGGTTTTTAACTTTAGTAGTTATTTCCTAAATGACTCTAAAAGACAAATAGTAAAATATAATTATAAATTTCAGTTACTGGGCACATAATGTATAAAGATTAGTTTATGATAACTACATAAAGGGTGGAAGGAGCAGCATAGGAATAGAGTTTTTGTATGTTACTGAAGTTAAGTTGGTATCAATTTAAACCAGGTTCTTATAAATTTACAGTGTTACATGTAATCCTCAGAGTAACCACACACACAAAATCCAAAAAATATACTCAAAAGGAAATGAGAAGGAAATCAAAATGGCTCACTACAGAGAAAATGAACTAAATAAAAGTGATGGCAGTATTGAAGGAAATGAAGGACAAAGAAGGTATAAGACACACAGAAAACAAAAGCAAAGGGATAAAAGTAACTCCTTATTTGTTGGTAATTACCTTAGATGTAAATGGATTAAACTTCCCAATCAGAAGGCAGAGAGTGGCAGATGGATTTAAAAAAAAAAAAAATTCTATCTATATGCTTTCTACAAGAGATGCATCTTAGAGCCAAAGAGACATAATAGGTAGAAAGTGAGAAAATAGAATAATAAAAAAAAAAAGTTCAATGTAAATAGTGATTAAAAGAGAGCTAGGGTGGCTATTTTCATTTCAAACAAAATAGCCTTTGTTTATTATAAGAGCCAAAATCTATTATAAGAGCCAAGTAAGGGCATTATACAATGATAAAAGGGTCAATTTATCAAGAAGATAACAGCAGTTATAAATGCACCTAACACCAAAGGCCCAAATACTGACAGAATTCAAGTGAGAAATACATAGTTCTATACCACTTTAATTAATTGAAAGGACATCTAGAAAGAAGATCAGTAAGGAAATACAGGATTTGAACACCACTGTAAACCAGCTATACCTAATAACGTGTAAGACACTCTACCTAGCACACAATACACATGGATTCTTCTGCAGTACACATGGTTCATTCTCCAGGATAGAACAGAAAACAAATTTCAGTAAATTTAAAAAGATTGAAATCATACAGAGTATCTTCTGTGACCACAATGGAATGAAACTAGAAATTAGCAAAAGGACAACTGGAAGGAACTCAAATATGTGGAAATTAAACAGTACACTATTAAACAATGTGTCAATGAATAAATGAGAGAGAAATGAAATAAGAGTCAAATGAAAATGAAAGCACAACATACCAAAACTTATGAGATACAGCAGAGGCCGTGCTCAGGGAAATGTATAGCAGTAAACACCTACATTAAAAAAAGAAAGATTTCAAATCAGTAACCTAACTTTTAAGATCTCATTAATTAACGGTGGGGTTGCACAGCCGATGAATATAATTGCTGTCAGTAAGTTATACACCTGTAAAACTTTGAATTGGCAAAAGCTGTGTGGTAGATATATTTACAAAAATGACAAAAACAAAAAGAGTAGCTGCTGAGGCTGCTTATGTACAACCAAACACCTCATGGGATTTGGGTCTTTGGTTTGGAGGTTAAGGGTCGTGATTTCATGGGACAGCCCAGTTAATTGGCCTAATAACATGTTTAGTCCTTCTGTATTACCTCCTAGTTCGTTGTGTAGTGCCTGGGGTCTTAAAAGTTTGCGGGCAACCATTCAGGTTACAACAATTGGTCTCTTTTCGCCTGGACCAACAACGGAAGAAGGAGAGTCAGGAATAGGAGGAAGAAATGGAATGTGAGGCTAATTGCCTCCATGCCCCCTTTGCCATGAGACCAGAAGAACTGGATAGTGCCCGGCTACCATTACTGAACATTTTGATTCAAAAATTCCATAGAAGAATCCTGATCAAGAGGGGGGAAATGTAGAAGAGAATTTCAAATTTTCATGAAATCCAGTCTTTCTGGAGCCATGGAGGCTAGATGAACCCCCTGAACCTTTTGCCCTGAGATATTTTTTATACTTTAAACCAAAAATATTCCCTGAAGTCTTCTTAAAACCGAATAGTAGTTTAGCTTAATTAGTAAAGAATGTCTGCCTAGAGCATTATACTCTTTCAAGATTTGTTTATTTGGGATCAAATTGACTGTAGCAACCCGAAAGATTAGACAGGAAACTTAACGGGAAAGGAACAACTCGGAAAAGGAAGGTAAGAATGATTGCACAACTTAAAGAATGTAATCAGTGTCACTGAATTATATATGTAGAAATTGTTGAGTTGGTGTATGTTCTGCTGTGTATATTCTCAACAGCAGCAACAAAAATAAAACATATTAAAAAATACCTAATGACAATTAGGTATTAGAAGAAGAAG